GAGAGCCGGGTGTCCTGGAACTGTTGTGTCCCTGCCCACCGCCCGAGCCTGAAACAGAGCAGGCCAGGCAGGCGAGAGCGGAGGACCAAGGACAGTTGTTGGGGGGCTTCTGGGTGCCCCGAGGGTTCCGGACAGTAATGATGATGCCGAAGATTTTTCACTGTTTGATGCAGAAGAGAGAGCTCATAGACCTAACAGATCCAAAATCAGACATCCAGCAGAATCACTCTTCCATTTGCTCTTTCAAGTTAGTGCGGTATAGTTTATCTTTTGTGTGAATTGCTCAGCAGCAGCTTTATTATCTATATGGTGACCATGATCTTGTTGTCACGTGACTTCTGGGCAGTGAAGAACGTCACAAGCAGACTCGTGGTTGGCCAACGTTGGTGGAATCATATTGATGAGGATGGAAAGAGCCACTGGGTCTTTGAGTCCAGGAAGGCAACTTCTCAAGACAGTAAAAGTGTTTCAGAGGCGGAATCAAAAATATTTTGGTTAGGACTTATTGCCTGTCCAGTGCTGGGGGTGGGATTTTGCTTTAGCGCCCTCTTCTCCTTGAGAGTAGAGCAGTTGGCAGTGGATATCACAGCGGTGGTGCTGCAAGGTGCCAACCTTGTGTGGTGCAAGGTGGGCAGCAGGAAGAATGTAACCAGCACGGCCACCTTGCATCTCGGGAAGCAGTTTTTAAGACAAAACACTGAAAATGTCTGAGTACAGAGAAAGCTTATGTGCTTGGGGAACAGTGGAAGAGATCTTGACTCTGAACTGTTTAGAGGCCCATCCATGTTGCAAAGAGGCGTGTTGGGTTTGTTCTTCTGCTTAAAAACTTTATTTGAAAAGTATGAAACAGGTTTCGTATTGTTTTTATTTTCTTTGACTAGAAAGTATAGCACCAGAAACATTTAGGAATTATTTTATAGTATACATGTGTACGCATAGACATGTAATAGCAGTATATCCTAAATTAATGTGTTCATTTACACCTCTAACAGAGCTTTACTTTTTGATCCATAGAGCATAGGAGGGTGTTCTTAGTCTATTTCATTGCTCTGTGTGTTTACATATTATTTCTGTAGATTATTTTCAGAAGTAAGTTTTGATTCTATGCAAAAGTGAGCACTTTGGCTTAAATATGAGTTTTAAAAGTTAGAAACAATTGTTCATTTTTAATATGTGCTTCATGGTGAAATTTCTTTTCTTAGAAATATGTGCAAGAGGGGCTGGGGATTTAGCTCAGCGGCAAAAGCGCCTGCCTGGCAAGCGCAAGGTCGTGAGTTCGGTTCCTGGTACCAGAGAAAAACCAAAAAAAAAAAAAAATTGTGCAAGAATGTAAAAACAAAATTCAGGACAGTAGTGTTAACTAATTTTTAAAATTGCATTTTTATTATTATTTTGAGGCCAATAATATCTAAACAGAATCTTCATAGTTTATGTTTAAGGTGTACCCAGGGATTGCTGCTGTTTTATTTATTTTAGGGAAAGGATAGTGAAAATTTACTTTGGAAATTCAAGTGGTCAAAAAAAAAAAATTCAAGTGGTCAAGTGGACCCCTTCAAGTGGTCTTTTTTTTTTTTTGTCTTTTTTTTTGGTTTTTCTCCAGTACCGGGAACTGAACTCTCGACCTTGTGCTTGCCAGGCAGGTGCTTTGCTGCTGAGCTAAATCCCTAGCCCCATCAAGTGGTCTTTGACTAATAAATCTTTTACCACTAAAAGAACATTAGCCTTACGATAATGAGAATAACCTTTTGAATACTTGGCATAATAAATGCCTAAAAGACATTTTGTTTTATGAATCTGTTGTTTTCTGCTATAATGAGGATATTGTAAATCATGCATGTGTATTAATGGTATTTCTTAAAGTAATATATGTAAATAAACTAAACCAATCTACAAACTGTTGTAGGCATCTATAAATTCTGTTGTAGGTACTATAAACTTCACTGGAGTCTTAATTGGCAGATTATGTTGTGAATGTGTTTGTATATGGTTAAAATATTTTAAAGATGTTTTGTTAAATTGAATAAATGTCTTTATTGGAGTAGGGAGTTGAAAAGTTGAAAAGGCATAACTTTATATTTGTATAAAGCTCCAGTGTTTACAATGCAAAAAAATACTATTAGAACTAACGTGACTCATGCACATTATATTTTGAATTATCTACAGTATTTTGATTTCAAAATATCTATAATTTCAAAGTGTTGGTATTGCTAATGTAACACTGATTTGTTACCTACATTCTTCATTGAAAAAGATGCTAATTTTCAGTTAAAGATAAATAAAAATACAAATGTAATTGTTTTTCCACCCAGATTCAGGGACTTCCTGGATCCTTTCTGTGGACTGCAGGTTATTTCAGTCTAAAGATTGTTTCACTTCACCAACCTCAGTGGGAGCCCCCCAAGGACAGAGGTCATCCCTTCATCTTATTTATTTATTAATTTATATTTATTTTTGGTTTTCTTTCTTGAGACAGGTCTCCTTATGTAGTTGAGAACTCACTATGTAGCCCAGACTGGCCTCAAATTCGAGGCAATCCTCCTGCCTCAGCCTCCTGAGTGCTGGGATTACAGGCATGCACCACCACACCTGACTCATTTTATATTAAGTATGCACAGAGGGCCACACAGCAGCCCAACACTGGTCTGTTGTGTCTTGTAGAGTTTCTCAGTAAATCACAATGATCACTTCTCTCTCTTTTCAATCTTTCTACGTCTTTGTTTCTTTTCTTGTTTTATTGCATTGGCTGGGATCTTCAGTACAGTGTTTAACAGGAGCAACGACAGTAGGCACCTCTATCTTATTAAGCTCAAAAATCATCTACTAATTTATGCAATAAGAATATAAGGCATCCATAGCGTGCCAAATCTGTGCTGGGCACAAATATAAACACAGCTGATGAGACAGAGCAGCAGAAGGGTGCCAGTGAAGATGCCAACACTGACTTGTTGATTCTGCAGACATATGAGCCTCTCCCTTGGGCCCTGCTGCCCACAAAGTATTGTAGTAGAACCTTGCTGGGGACCTCAGGCCCCAGGGCATAGGTCAGGGTGGGCAAGAGGCAGGCAGGCAGGTGCTAGAACCCTGAAGTGAAGCCTCCAGCAAGGTGTCAACCAGAGCTTGGGGCCCGGGCCTTGCCTGTGAGGACCTGTCTGTGCTAAGCTTGTAGCTGCCAGCAGGGCCAGCTGTTAACATCACTGGAGCGGGCAGCACCAAGGTGCGCAGTTAGAGGAGGGGACGCCTAGACCTTCTCCCCTTCCTGCCCTAGGATGTGAGCCTGGAGTAGGGGCTGGGGGGGGGTCCTCACATCTTCTTTCTGTCCAGCCGGTCCACGGGAAATAGGAGAGCTCTTAGTAAAATATAAGGAGGGTGTGGTTTAAAATGGACCAGATTACACCTTAGGGCCTGGGATAGGATTGTTAGAATAACCAAATGTGAACGAGAAGTCAAGCGATCGGACCAACTTTGTTTAAAGAAAGGCTGCCGCCCACCAGGAGGGGAAAAGGAGGACAGTAGCCGCCAGAGGGAACAATCCCCTATGGAAGTAGATAACGCCCCCGCAAGATAGCCACACCCTTGTCCCAGAACCCGTGTGCCGCCTGCCCTTGTGATTAGCTCCTGAGAGCGGAGAGGAGCCTGAGTCATGCAGGTGACCTCAGTGAGGTAAGGCAGCAAGGCCGGGCCTCTTAGGATACGCTGAGGGTTTGCAGCTGAGATCACCTAGTTGTGGCCACTTGGCCCTGGGTCTGCCCACAATGCAGCAAGCCACAGAGATTGTTTGGGGAGGGACGACCCTCATGCGCAGGGCTGGAAACTAGCCTTGGGCCCTGGAAACTGGTCAGTGGGGCTGTGATGGATGGACCTGAATAAACAAACCCGGTGAAACACGCGCTCCTTCCACACTCCCTGCCCCACTTCTCTCAGTGACAGCTCTAGAGTTTTGTTTCGTCATCCCCACGCCAATATTGTCAAAAAAGACATGAAAGCATCAGGCTTCGGTCACTTCCTTAGGCTACACGCTCTCGGGAAGGCCCCGTGTACGTGAGCTTAACAAAACCTGATGCTTTTCTCTTGTGAATCCGCGCTGGCCGCCCTGGCTTCCTGGATCCAGCCAAAGAGCCCGCAGAAGAGCTGGGAGGGGCGGGGTATCGCGCCCCGACATTAGGCCCAGGGGCCTTAGCTTAGAAGAGGCGAGGAGGAGGCGCAGGGCGAGGGACCAGATGTGGGACCTCCGACTGGACAGACGCCAGAGGCGCCGCCCCGGGGCCCGCAGGATGCCGGGAGCCCTGCAAGGCCCACGTCAAAGTTCAGGGCTCCGCGGCTGTAAGCGAGCACATCCGTGTTCCCGGCCACTGCGTGAGTGCGCGCGTTTGTCACGATGTGTTACTGCTGCAGCAGCAAGCAGCACCCCGGCGTCGGGACCCCGCGGAGCCGGCGCAGAGGGGGTGTGTGGGCGCTGCCTCTGCCCTTTGGGGCTGGGGTCGGTGGCCTGTCGGGGAGGCCGAGGTAGCAGAACTGGCCGTGCGGTGGGCAGGGCCGGCCCGCCTCCCATCTGCAGCCTCAGCCGCGTGCGGCCGGGCCCGGGGCGGCGTTTCCAGGCTGGCCACCCAGCAGCAGTCCGTGCCCAGCCCGCGGCCCTGCTCGGCAGACACTGCGGCCTCGCCCGGGCCGGGCTGAGGAAGGAAGCGCGTCCTCCTCCCTCCCCTCCCCCGGCCTGGGGATTCGCGGTCCCCGCCGCAGGAGGACCTTCGTCCATCTGCAGGCCGGCGC